TCCCACGTTCAAATCTCTCCAACTGTTACCATATTCACACGTGACATGCTGGGTGGCCAAACATTTGAAATTAAAAGTAAACAAATTAATTTATAATAAACGATAACTTCTTTGAACTTTAATAGCTTGAGTCTAACTTATTCAAATTAACATTTTCTCGAGCCTAATATACATAATTAATTACGAGCTATATAACGAGCCCGATATAGATATATTTATCGTTACTCTATCAATATTTAAATATTTGACCCATATACAAATTTAAAACCCATTTCATTTTAGTCCTCATTTTTTTTAAAATATAAAAATGTAACATATAAAAATAAATACATTTTTATTCTAAAATTTTCGGAGCGTTACACAAGCAGTCCTATTTATAGAAGAAGAGAGGTTATGAGTAAAGTGCCAAGCCCCAAACTCAGCAACCTTAACGAAAGGAAGCATCCCTTGCTGTCACTAGCCTGTTGCTGGCCTCTCGCTCAAGCGCTGGTGACAAACTTTCAACAAAAATTTTTCGTCTGCCTATCGCTCGAGTGACATTCTCATCGAGGCAAATTTCTTTGTCAATTTTTCCTCTTTTCTTTCCAATTTCAGACTGTAATTTCTCATTCATCCTAAATTTATATTGAGATTTCAAATATACCATGACGATCTACTCAATGTGTAAAACAAGTTAGTCTTTTATATTTATAATTTAACTATTGCACAAAGTACGAATATTTGGCTAAAGTTGACACGAGTCACTTTTCATGTTCTATACTTACCAAAATTTTCAATCTTTAAGCCATATTTCAACAGTCCCCATATGAATGGAAATTTGAATATGTTCATGCTATGTGAAAGTGTGATGCATTGTAGAAAGTATAAAATGCATTGGTAAGGTAGTTTCCGACCTTGAAAATTTTTTAGTGAAATACTATCGGATTTATTTTGCTAATTGGTGAACATGATGTCTTGAACCATTCAGCCATTGGTGTAATCCAAGACAATAATACTCACACAGATGTCTTTACTAAATCGTTTATGGTTCTCATAACTTGGTTCATTTTAGTTCTGAACCACTCTTAGGTTTCATAAGTGTTTTAGAAAATTTATACCTTGAAATTTTTTTTTTAGCGGCCCCACTTTACACCTATATAAGTTTAGTCATATTAAGATTATTCTTTCCTACTCTACTTAACTTAGTCAAGAATAGGAATTATTAAAGTATATCTTAACCTTAAACATTCTACATAGTGCACTTTAATTATCGTAGGAATGAGTTGGGAAGCATTTCCCCAAGTACTTCATTGAATTTTCATAAGTTAGTTGTTCCCTTAAACCAAGATCTTGGGATCTCTGATCAACAAGGTAGAGTTATCATTACAAAGATTCTTATGTAATAGACTTCAATCTCATTCATTTCGATAGGCAGCATACTTGATCTCTTGATAGACCTTTCGTAAGTGGATCCGCGATATTCTCCTTTAACTTCACATAATCTATGGAAATCTTACCTTTTGAGATCAGTTGTTTAATAGTGTCGTGTCTAGGACATATATGTCTAGACTTACCATTATACATGCTACTTTGAGCCCTTCTACTAGCCGATTGATTATCACAATGTATACTTATTAGAGGTACCGACTTAGGCTAACATAGAATAGAATATCTTCCAAAAAAATTACGA